TCCATTTCCCTTCCAGCTCCCATTTTTGTGGCCTGGGAAAGCAGTCAAAGATGATCCAAAGCCTTGGTCCTCTGCACTCACATGGGAGACTGTGAAGAAGCTCCTGGCTCCTGGCTTCGGATCAGCTCAATGTTGGCTGTTGAGGCCATTTGGCGAGAACCAGTGGATGGAAGATTTTTTTCTGTGTTTCTCCTTCTGTATAAATTTGTTTTTCCAATATAAACAAATAAATGTGCGTGTTCTTTTAAAAGGACAGTTAAATTTTCTATCAGCCTTATCTTATAATTTATTGATATGAATTCTGATATTATAAGATATTTCAAAGGTAAAAGAAAATCCTGACAAAGCATTTCTGGAAAAGATACGGCTCCGCTCATTGAATCACACTATCTGGTTTGTGGGTTATAAAAGCAGCCCAGCTACCGTTCTTCTCTGTAAAGCTGTTCTTGACAAAGAAAGTGTGGCTCGCATTGATCCCTGGTGTAGACTACTTGAGATGACCCGGTTCAATAGTGAAGATCAAAACCAGTTACGATTGATTTGACAGCCTACAGATAGATCACCTTGGGAGTGGCTGAAGGGCCTGACCGGAAGATAATCCCCCACTCCCAGCCAGACTTCTCTCATTGTAAAACCGTGAAGGCTTTAGTCTGAAATCATCAAATTGAATTATTTATTTAGAATAATCATACATAGGGAAATGGAAACATCAGCTGAAAAAATACTGTATAAAAATATGAATGACACCTAGGACCTTTAATAAACATCTTTGGGCATCAAATATCCATTCTTAGAACTTATTTTTACATGTGATTTCTTATCAAGCAGACACAGCTTTCTTCCAGCATACAGATAGTATTTGTGAAATAAAAGGAATGTAGTGGAGAAAAAGTCTCGCTGGACTGGTCCTGCTGTGTGCACAGCGGTGACTCATGTTGTTGGAGCCCAGTTTGGTTCTATAGAGTGGGGGGCAGACATACCTCTTTTCCATTAATATCAACTCAATGACATAATACAAGGGAACATGTTTCATAAGGTAAAAGTGCGTGCATACATATTCAGTTAATATCATTTATGATTTTGCTACGATTCGAAGGCAGCGTGACCTCAGAAGCATATCATTGCTTGTTCCTGATTCCCACCAGCATGCACATTCCTTTCACACACTTGCTTGGTTTTATCCACCTACCCAACACCTTCCTCTCCTCCTGCCTTATGACTTTCTGTATGGTCCCCAACCTCCTCCTTCTCTCATTTTCCAAATGCCATTGCTGGTACCATCTCTGTCTTACCAGCCAGGGAACATTATATCTGTGTTCCCTGGTTAATCTGTTGCCCTTTAAGCCTAGTTGTGTTACAAGAAGAGACTGTGTCCTTTGAGGCAAACATTTTCCACTGGTGTAATTTTAGCCCTAAGAGCCAGAAGGGAGATACATCACCCAAAAGAGGTCACACACGGAGAGAGTGAGCGAGAAGGAAGCTCTAGAGCACATTCCACCCATATCATCTGGTATTTAATTTTCCACAGCTAAGAGCCATGCTGTCCTGATTTGAAAGGAAATGCAGGAAGAAGTGAAGTCACACAGCCTATCAGTGTTCTCCCCAGCAGGGCGAGTACATTGCTGGAACACTTGGAATACAAAATCAAACCAGCTCCAATAGCTTGGTTTCATATTTGTTAGAATTTCAGTTGTCCCAATTACTATAAATTGCTTATTTATTTTTATTTATTTGAAAGACAATGAGACGGCGAGATACAGATCTTTCACTCACTTGTTCACTTCTCAAAATACCTGCAGCGGTAGTGACTGGATGGGGGTGAAGCCAGAGGTTGGAACTCAATTCAGGCCTGCCGTAATGTGGCAAGGACGTAATCAGTACCTCTTAGAGTGCACATTTGTAAGAAACTGGACTCAGGACCAGAGTCGAACTCCAACTCTGTTACGGAACGCAGTCAGTGTCCCAAGTGGTACCTTAATCATTGTGATAATTGCCTGCCTGCCCTCGTTCTCCAACTTTTGGACTAATTTTGCATGTATGAAAAGCCTTTGAAAACTCATTTTCTATCCATAGGGCATCGTGACTTTCCCATGGGATTATTGGACATTTAGTCCTGCATGGGAAAAATTTATTATAAAGTGGATACTTAATAAAGGTTATTTGCTTATAAATTTATAGATGATAAAGATTATTTATTTATGACTTTGTATTTCCAAATGGATGCTGGCTATTTGCCTTTATTACAGCTCAAAGGAGAGGTGCATTATTCGTATCTGAAGACTTCAGTTGTGGTTACCCACAATCAGGAGCGTAGTGACATCCAGAAGCCCGGGAAAGCCCCCTCTCCTGTTAGCCGCGACTAGCAGAAATCCAGGCTCCAGTTGATCCCAACAAAGGACAAACTGCTCAGATATTGTCAAAGTAGTTTACTTCTTTTAACAACCAGCTTAGCTATTAGGAAGCACTTGCTTACAGTTGAATGCAATCTGCCTTCCCATAATTCCTACACATTCATCATCAGTCTTTCTACTACAATGTTGACAATGAGCTGAATCATCATTCTCCCATGAAGCACCTATTAAAAGAATGAAGAGACTATCATGTCAGACTTCAGTCTCTTATTTTTTTTAGATTTAATTATTATTATTATCATTTTTTGAAATACGGATTTATAGAGAAAAGGAGAGACAGAGAAAGATCTTCTTTCTGCTGGTTCACTCCCCAAGTATCTGCAGTGGCTGCAACTGAAGTGATCTGAAACCAGGAGCTTCTTCCAGGTTTCCCATTGGGGTGCAGGTTCCCACGTTTTTGGGCCATCCTTGACTGCTTTCCCAGGCCACCAGCAGAGAGCTGGATGGGAAGTGGTACAGCAGGGATATGTACTGGCACCTGTATGGGATCCCAGCGGATGCAAGGTGAGGATTTAGCCACTAGGCTATCACACCAGGTTGATACCCGTGAGATGCATACAATTTTCTTAATGCAAGGTTATTCTGATTTTTTAAAAAAAATGTGTAGGAGCTAGTTTTGAATATAATGTTTTTCAAAATCAACACAGTGTGCATTTATAAATATAATCTATTTACAGTGTGTGTTTACTTTCAAGTAGGAACATTACATGATTTTTATTCAAACCAGGACACTTTTGAGAGTGGAAAATGGTCTATTGGTAATTACATATTGGAAAACAGATACAAAATGAGATTACTGAGGCAAATAAGGACAAGTAATCATTTTAAATCAAAAGTGTCCTTCCTTCTGTTGTATTTTTTCTCTCTGTCTCTTTCAAAATTTTCACCTAAATGGCTTTTTCTCTAGCATACCCTGATGGTTGATGGTATTTTGTGCAATAATGTGTTCTATTGTGTAATACTTTTCACACTTGTGATAGACGGACTTTTGATAAGCACAGTGTTCATTGTTGTATTTAAACTCTCAATCACACCCAAAGTTTAAGAACTCAAATACACAAAATACTTAAGCTTGCTCTTTTGTAGCATTCTCTCTGTGTTACTCTAACACCATTAATGTGCTAGTGCTATTCCTTATAACATTGCTTTTATCTTGAATTCATACTTTCAAAGTTGCATCTCAGCTACAAGTACCAGGGACTCGGATGTTGATGAGCTGTGACTTCTGACGCCAGCTCCTGCTGTTGTAGAGCCAGGCAGGCAACAGGTGATGGCTCAGACAACAGAGCTTCTGCCTCCTGCATAGGAGACCTACACTGAATTCCTGGCTCTTCACATTGACCTTGACCCAGTTCCAGCTCTTGCAGGATTCATGCAATAAACCTTGGCTGTCTGTCCCTGAAATAATAAATGTAAAAGCACTTACATACCTAATATGTATGTTATCTACTGTTTTCATTATTCCCACATTTATAAGTTTATTTGAATAATCATATGGCTTTTAAAATTTCAAATTAGAATCATAATTATCCATTCCTTTTTGTTATTTGCTTCAGGTGAAAAAGCAAACTTTATAGATTGGTGGGATTCAAGAAGTACAGTAGCCCCTGTGCTTTATACATGGGCAGTGTGTTTCCAGACTTCCAGTGCACACTGAAAACTTTGATGTTATCAACTCCTATATAGACATAATATTTTTCTTACATATATGCAATTTCACCTATGTATGTATACATTAAATTTTTCATAGCTATGAAAAAACATGGCTATAGGTATAAAAAGGTTTCATGTCTAAATTAAATATAGTGTGAGATTAACAATAATGAAAAATATAACAACTTTAGTATATTCTAATAAAAGTTATACGAGTGTGGTTGTCATAAAATATCTTACTGCCTTTTACTCATCTTTGCTATGATGGTGTGAGATGATTCAATGCTCACAGGACTGAGACGAAGTGATGTGAATGATACAGACATTATGATCAAGAGTCAGGCTGCTACTTAAAGAGTTCCTTGATGGGGTAGGAACTTGAGATTAGAAATTGTCACTAGTGAGTGCCACGTCCAGTTCTTGTTGTTTCAGTTGGTCCCCTGCCACCCACGTGAGAGGCCTTTTGGAAGCTCCTGGCTCTTGGCTTTACCCATTGTGGACATCTAAGGAGTAAATCGGCAAATGGAAATTCTCTCTCTCTCTTGCTTGCTCTTGCTCTCTTACTCTGTAACTCTGAAATTCAATAAAAAATAAATCTGAAAAAAAAAAAAATAAAACTAACAACTCCTGGCTGCTCCACATCTTTGCTAACATGCCTGAGAAAACAGCAGAGGGTGGCCCAAGTACTTGAGTCCCTGCCGTACACATGGAGTTCCAGGCCACTGGTTTCTGGCTTCATCCTTGTCCTGCCTGAGGGTGGCCCAACACTGGCCACTGAGGACATCTGGAGAGTGAAACAACAGATGGAAGATCCCAGTTCTCCTGAAATAAGTGAATAAATCTTGAAAAACAGAGGCATTGTGATGCTTTCACATCTGGTCTGATTACTAAGCAGGCTCCTAAGCAATTAACAGGCAGGCAGCACATGGCAGGCAGCGTAGATACAGTGGACAAAGGGATGACTCCTGCCCTGGACTGGAAGGAAAGGGAGCATTCAAGATCTCATCACACCACTCAGAGTGGCCTGCAATTAAAGCACAGGAATTGGTCTGATCTGAAATACCCCATTTAACATATCAGGCCGCAGATGCGAAACCACGAGTAAGGGGTGTTAGTGTAACACAAATTCACTCAGGTACTGTACATTTTGTACCTCTATGCTACTGATACGCCATGTCAATCCAAGAACAATTGTGAATTCTTTGAGTTACTGTTAGGCAATGGATACATCTCGTGTCACATGAAGGGTGCTTACTTAACTTGTAAGTCTATTTAGTATTCTGTGAAGCCAGCAACTTATTTTTTTAAGAGGTCCAAGATTCAGGTTGCTTATAAAGTTCCTCAAGTTCACACAAGGACCCAGTGATGCCATTTGTCTGCCCCTTTGTGCCATATCATCCTAGTCTCTGAATCATTGACCTGGGGTTTACTTCATTTAGTTCATTTTTTTTTTTTTTTTTGTATTGACTTCTTCATTCCTAGGAGCAGCCTTTCACATTTCCCAGTAAATAAAAACAGGAAACATTCTTCCCAGGAGTTCTTTTTATCTTAGCAGATACGTAATTTCTAATGCAAGATGTAAGGTAACACCATCATTTCCTTCCTGTGGCTCTTAAAGATTCAGTTTTCTTAATGAGGACAAGCAGTGAAAATAGCTCAGAGATCGTCCAATGGGGAGTCTGTCATCCTTGTGTTTCACATGTGCTTACTCCTATTTTCCTATACGTTTGCCACCACTTTCACTTTTAATCTTCTGGCAAGATCGGGTCTTCAGGGAGAGAACTTGTATCACTTGGCCTCTGGCTTGGCACACCTATCTTTATTCTCCAAGGCACTGAGACAAAATCTGACCTACAGAATGTGAGCAGTGTGTTCCAGCACCCAGGGCTTCAGCTCTAGCGTTGACATTCAGCCCTCTCTGACCTTAGACCACCACTTAGTCATTCTGAGTATCAGGTTCTTCCCCTTCTCAAAGTGAAGGAGATGAACTAGTTGTTTCCTGAGAATTTTCCCTATTTCACAATTAGCTTATTACACCCACAGATGAGGTGTTTCCTGTGTGGCTTTTGTACTACCCAGTAGTCTTCTCCAAGGTTGGGAGTGATGTGCTTGGTGAGCAGGATGTGGTGCTTGGTTTCCTAGTGGTGTTGATTACAAGAGAATGATTTATTTCCTTTGCCCTCCTCACAAGTTGGGAAGGGCCTTCATTTTGCCTTAGTGTTTGTAGCATAGAGAGGTCACTTAGCTTGACCAGATTTGTTCACTTTTGTAACTTTTATTGCAGTTCTGAAGCTTTGAAAGATATATGCAGTTTAATATTCCATAATGTTGAAAGTAAGTGAGCGAAAGAGTTGCTGTGTCTTGATGGTCTTTTCATACGGTAGCTTGTGTAAAGGCCAGAATATAATTACCATCAGATTTCAGTGTAAACAAAGACTTAAAACTGCAGAAAACAATGACGGAAAGCATGGTTCACACTTTATCTTTGAATATTGAATGAAACCAATTTCCAGATGCCATCCTCTGTTTTTATTTTATTGGCCCAAGGTTCTGTATAAATAATTAAGATTTGTTCATTTCATATGCAACAAGTTTAATGGCATATCACAATCAACTTCAGTACTATCAGTACAATATTACATTCTGCAAATGTTATGCTCTTGGGTCCAATACTAATTTTTGAACGAGATATCTTTGAAGCATTTAATAAGAAACAAAATCAGTAAATTGCTTCGGTCCCTGTTTTTAGAAATGATAAAGCTTTATAGAATGAGGTCTTTTTGAGATCGGTTATGTTGTTGAGAAAAGAATGATTCCGTTTGTGTTGGTAGGAACTGCATTCATATTTGTGATGCTTGACTATCATTTGGCCACACCATTTGACCATTAACCACAGTACCTCTATCCTTAGCAAACTCTGTCGCTCATTACAGATGTTTAAAATACTGAAAACAGGCTACTGGAGGTCTTCAAGGAAGATAAAAGTGACTTAAAAGTAAGGTTCCCATTTAACACCGGAACATGAAGACTAGCCGCCTGACATAACCTCCAAAACCTTTAGTCAAATATTTTAGATAAATGTCTTAGGAACAAAAATCTGAAGAAGGCCACATTCTCAGAATGGAAAGAGCAGATTGGAACAACTATCAAATGAACATCCCAGATGCAGTTTTTTTTCTAAACAAAACAGTGTTATTCCTTCTAAAATGAAATGTTTAATTGCCTCAGAATGAACTGTATTTTTGTTTTCATGGTTTTTTGGTTGTTTTCATAATTTTTCAGTATGGCGCTTTAAACTTAGTATGTCTGTTAACTTGAACTGGAATCTCATGTCTAACTTTCTGATAAAGTTTTCAAGTCTTAAAAAAAAAAGTTAGTAAATGCATAAGTGTGTTTGTCCATAATGGAGTCTGAACACACATAGGACCAGAAAGTAATAATAGGCATCAGTATCTATTGTTTGTTACCATTTTTTCCCCTCCAGAATGTCCAACATTTATTTCCCAGGGTCCAATATTTTACCAAACCTGCAGCATTGCTGTGATATGTGTAACAACCAATTTGTACTTGGTATATAAAACAGAGAGCATGTGAGCCTCAGCCCTGCTGGAGCCCAGCAAGGAGCAGCTGAGCACGCAGAGATCCGAGAAGGCACCAAAGTGCTCTGTGATTCTCTGCTGAGAAGTGGGGCACACCGGGGCTGTTGAGTCTCTGAGAAACTGGAAGCCTCCTTTCCTCTTGGCAGGGACACCTGCTCGCCTGCTTACCTGCTCACCTGCTCGTGAGATTCTCTCACAGTGATGTCACTCTCCTGCCCCTAACCCACGATTCAGTAGAATTCTCTTCATTACCAGAATATTCTTTCTTTTCTATCCTCCACAGGGAAATTCCAGTACTCAGAGGCAGGTTCTGTGGTGCAGTGCGGTAAGCTACTGGTTACGATGCCCCCTCCCCATATTGGAGTCCTGGGTTGAACACCAACTCACTTCTATTTTTTTAAAATTTTTTGTTTTGATTTTTTTTTATTACTTTCTACAATACATCTGTGTAGCTATAGGGAATCCATCACTCCTCCTCTTCTTTATCTCTGTCCTTTTTGTTCCCTCCCACCACTTTTCTTTTTATCTCAGTAGTTTAACTTTCTGGTACTTAAGTGTATCCTGATATAATGAGTACAGGCAAAGATAAAACTTTGTGATAATGAACCTGGCAGGTTGCTGATGATGTCTTCAGTGCTTGGTGCCTGCCACGCACGTGGGAGGCCTGACTGAATTCCTGGCCGTTGGCTTTGGCTGGACCTGGGCCCAGCTGTCGTATGCATTTGTAGGGTGAATCAGCTGATAGAAGATCTCTTGCTGTCTGTTTCTGTCTTTTCCTCTCTCCCCATCACTCTTCCTTTCAAATAAGTATTTAGCAAGTGCAAAAATTTCCAGACTCATCATTTCATAATTAGATCCTTGATAACAATCTTCTGACTTAGTCTCCACCATCATCATTCTCCCTCTGTCCGCTCTAAGTCATTCCTGATCTTCCTGGGGCGTGATGACACTGAATCACTGGATTGAATGGGCGTGTGTAACAGGCTTTCAGTTTCCCAACACATCCGATCTCTGATCCTCTGCCCAGCCTTTAAGGTTACCTCCACTTGGACGTTGGTACATTATTCAGCCTTCATTTCCCTGTCATATTCCCAGCTCACGTTTGAAGATCTCTTGTTTTCCTGCATCAGAATATTGCTTGACTTTTGCACTTTGCACTTTCCAAGCAGTTGCCTTTCCTCATTGATTCTTCTCACCCCTGTTCTTGTCTTGTCCTCTGGGAGGTCTCTGATGACTGCTGTAGCTGTAGAAACCTTTTCACTCTCTGCACAACAATTGTCCTTGTGGTTAATATTACATGCCATCATTCTCTCACTATGTTTATGTGTCATTTCAATCCACCTAAACCAACAAGCTTCCTTGAGGTCACAGTGAGATCGTTCTATGTCTTATCCATAGTACAAAGTACAACAAATACGTAGCATAAACAAAGCAAAAACTCTCAATAAATACTGCTTGATGCTGAATTTTGGTGAATTACATCTGTGAGAGGGGTGTGTGTGTGTGTGTATACACTTAGTATCAATTTCATACTTTGGGGAAAAGACGTCATAGATAAAGAGAGAAATATAAACAATTTAGTATATTTTGTTTTGTTTCTTTTGAGGATAGTTTATCCCCAGCTATCACCTGAAAATCTCATGGCTCCCAGAATATCCATTTCTTTAGTTGTAAGGTGTTTTGCTACACATACAAGAGTAATATTTTCCCTGTCAAGATGGTATAGCATTTTCACTCTGATTACTTTCTCATGCTCTGAGCATCCTAAGCCCTTGTTTTTCACTCCTGACAATACAAGACTAAATTTCAAATGTGGGTACTATGTGAACTAAAAGGGCATATGACCAAGGTTTGGATCCCATAAGGGGCTGGGATCCATCTGAGAATATTGACATAATAATATAAGTACTTTTTGAAGATGGATAAGAAGTAAGCAGACCTTACCACTGAAACAAATTTTAAATAAGTAGCCTTCATTTTATAAGTACTATCTTGGAGCTAGAAGCTATATAATATTTTAAATGCCCTGATTTTAAAATGGGATTTTTTTTTTTTTGCAATTTTGTGGGGATTTGTTTAAAAATTATAAAAATTTCGCTGCAGAAAATACTAAAGAACCTCATATTTGTAGGCTTTTTTAGTCTAGATAGAGGAATCTGTTCATTTAGGGAGCATTTATCCAACAAGAAATCTTTCCTGATATCTATTCAAATTTTGGAAAACCCTAACATTTTGGTACGGTTTTTTGCATTTTTTTAATTATATAATTCCACTTTAATTTATTGCTTTTATAAGCAGCACTGGCCAATAGAACTTTTTTTCCATGTGGACAATATTTAAAATATGTATTTTAGTATGGTAGTTACTAGCTACAACTGTTTTAAACACTAGGGGCTAAAGGAACAATTTTTTAAATATTATTTAATGTTCTTTATATATAAGCTTAAATATCTCATGTAAATATCTAAAATAAAATCTTATGTGAATATTATCTACTGCATTAGACACACTAACAGATTTTGCAGAATAAGGCAATAGTAATTTTTACAGGGTTTTTTTTTCAACAATGTTAAAAGAAGCTGATATTTATATTTTCTTTTTGGAATATCTTTTCTTTCTCAAAAAACAAGATTACACTTTAATGATTATTTTGTGTTGCTGTTACTGTTGTTATTGCTACAATCTGCCCTTTCCTCAGAGTCTTTCTAACCCATCAATTTTGTAATTGTTTCTAGATGTTCCTTCAAGTTGCTTAGCAAATGTTGTCTTAAGACATATCTGTAAAACACACTGAACTCATGGGAAAACCCAAAGTGACATGTGAATTGCAGAATTTGGAGATGAGAATGCACACAATATGTAAACAGGTTTTGACTTAGAGGACACATTTGACAATATCTAAATGTGTATTTTGGTCATCGTTTTCCAGGTAGGATGTGATTCTGTGTCTGCTGAATAGAGGACAGGACTGCAGCTGACCAGCAAAAATGCTCAAACTTGAACTCTCCACAACAGAGACACCTCCAGCCACAAACTTCAGCAGTGCTAAAGGTGGGAATGTTGATGCACAGAGTTTAGACAGACATTCACTAAATTATGCATTAACATATGTAAAACCCCACTCATGGGACTGTCTGTATGGATGCTGGTTCTTGTCCTGGCTGCCTCACTTCCCAGCTGTGCCCGTTCCCATCCCGATCCCTACTTGTGGCCTGCAAAAGCAGTGGAGGCTAGTCTGGAGGATAGCCTTGGGGCCCGGTACCCTTGTGGGAGATCCAGAAGAAGCTCTGCTTCACATCAGCTCAGCTCCAGCTGTTGTGAAGCAGTGGATGAATTTTTTTTTTTCTGTGCTTCTTTCTTTCTCTCCGCAAATGTGCCTTTCCAATAAAATAAATAACACTTTTGGAAAAAAGAAATGAATATCCCAATCATTTGAAAAGTTAGAATCATACCAAATTGCCTACCTTCATATACTAGGTTTGCCACATTTTATAAGATGTATGAGTGTCTTTAAATTCCCTCATCCACATCAAGAACACCTGACTGGGCCAATAAATGGAACAGAATATTTATTAAGCCATGAATAGCCTTTCAGCTTTTTTAGTCCTCCCTCTCTCTGAAGTTGTACGTGTTGCTCTTGTTCCCGTGCTTAGACACTCATGGCACAGTTTGTCTTCATCTCTGTTTCTCTTTCTTGCACAGCATTTCTTGCACAGTGTTGTAACAAAGCCACTGGTTGACTCATGAATCCAGATGGAAAGGACATGGTACAGTGAGGCTGGCTTCTTCAGATGCACATTGGAGGGAGCTGCTTTTTCCTTGGAAACGTTTTCCTTGGGAGTGTGTGAGGCCAGTTAATCTTTCTCCCTCATCTCAAGGCAGGAAATAATTAATACAACCTGGGGGGAGAGCTTGGCATGCCAGTCCAAAAGAAATCTGACACCTGGTGAATTGTGCCTCTTTTCCGGTGTCAGCCTGAGCGTGAAGTTTCCTGAGGTTCATAGGAAGGTTCATCAGACCTCGACAAATCTCACAGCAAACGGGGTCGTGTCAGATTCCAAAAGAAATATGCACATTTTACCTGGCTCCGAATTTCGGGTGTCAACAGTTTCAGCTCTTCAAGCAGAAAGGCACTCTGCGGTGTCGTCAAAATTGCAAACTTTGTACATTGGGTAATGCATGGGAAAAGACAATTGACAGAGAATCAAAACCCAAGGGAGACACATTTCATAGCGACCATCCAGTGTCTGAGAACACACAGGCGTTCTCAGTAGACCTGGCTGCTATCACTGAACTACCAGTCTCACATTGTTCATTATCACATTGTGTTATGCGTTTCCCACATTCAAAGCCAAGCCAGGGAGAAAATTTTCTCCTGGAGGGATTTTCAAAGTTCACATGAGAGAGATGCAGGCTTGGGACATTTCCTGTCTAGTTCCAAAGAATGAAAAAGAAAAAAGTGCAGTGATTAGAATTTAGAGAAAAATTCCTAAGATATTGTTCATGAAATGAGTTCGTGCAGGTTGTGAAGGTGGAGGCAAACTCACATCCCGGAGTCCTAACGACAACATCAAAGTTTGTTCTGATACGAGCAGATTCTTAATCTGATATCTTGCATGCATTTGCTTAAATCTTGCAAAATCTCTGTCCAGTTCTCAGGGCCCCTGGCCCACTGCAGCCTTGCTGACTCAGCAAAGGGAGGCTGCTTTTGCAGTGTGTGTTGCTCCTCACAATGGAGTCACATCCTGCCTGCCAGGGCCTTGGAAGCAGTACAGCCTCATGATAAAATTTCTGGCAAGTGGATGAACACAAACACATTTGAATAGTTTCTAGTGTGTTGTAATCTCCCTCTGTCTGGGTACTATATAATCAAGGACGTTCAACTGGAAGGAAATTAGCCTACTTTAAAAACACCCCCAAACAGATTCATGCGTTCTGAAGTTATTTAATCATTGGTGCTGAGAAAAGGATACAGTGCAGATGACAAACAGAGTTTCGTCACATTGTTTCTGATGGATGTGGCTGCTTCCACTGGGATTTTGATCTCTAGGATAAACACATACTCTGGGGTTTTAAATTATGCTGATTGTTACTAACTAATCCATTTTAAAATATTTTATTTATTTGAGGATAGGATTTCAGACTGAGAAACAGAGAAGCAGAGAGACCTATCTACAGGTGCCCACCCCAAATGGCCACAACCCAGGAGCTCCTGCAGGATCTGGGCACTGGGGTCACCCTCTGATGCTTTCCCAGGTGCATCAAGAGGGAGCTGGATTACAAATGAAGCAGCTAAGTCTGGGATGGGCACCCATATATGATGTCAGCACTCCAGACAGTGGCTTAAAATGTTGTGCCCACTAAGTTGGCCCCAGTACTGCAAAAAAAAAAAAAAAAGCAGCACGCAGTCCATTGAATATATCTGGAGCTCTCAATCAAAGGCCAGCTTTCAGGGTTCAGCATGATATCCTAAATTCTCGCCTTGCATGCACCAGTATCCCATATAGGCACTGGTTCATGTCCTGGCTGCTCTGCTTTCCATCCAGCTCCCTGCTTGTAGCCCGGGAAAGCAGTCAAGGACAGCCCAAAGCCTTAGCACTCTGCACCCAAATGAGAGACTCAGAAGAAGCTCCTGACACTGCTTCAGATGGGCTCAGCTCTGGTTGTTGTAGCCACTTGGGGCGTGAACCAGCTGATAGAAGACCTTTCTCTCTCTTTCTCCTTCTCTCTATAAAATTGCCTTCCCAAGAAAAAATAAAAGAAATCTTTAAAAAAGAGCCACCTTCCTGTGTTCAACACAGGAGAGAGACTAATATTGTTAACAGTCTAACATTTTAATTTGCCCACAACATAAGCAGCGGCTGCTACCAGCAAGGCCACATGCTTGCTGTAGAGTAAGGATATGTAATTCTGTGTTAATATTTCTGATTGAAGCACTCTGAGACTGATTGATGACTTGCTCTTAGTGAAGTTTATTGAGGGAAAGCTTCCAAAGGATTTCCTAAAGCCAAATCTAAAATAGCAAAGTGGAAAAAAAATTATGAATTTACCCAAATAATTCACTCTCAAAACCAACTTTCGAAATATTCCCAAGAAGTCAGATCTTTGGACTTGAATCACTAGAAAATTGCCATAATTGTTTCAAAAAGAAAACTGTTCTTAAAAAGAGCGGAGAGTGCTCTGTTTTTCTTACTGGTGAGTGGAAAATCCAGTCCTTTCTGTGATACACCAGTCTGTATACCTTTCCTTGCACTGAAAGAAAACTGAGATCCATGGCTTGCACTGAATTTGTAACACAAATTGTTTTGTGTTACATGTACCATAATTTTGGCACATGAAGACAGTGGTGGACTGGATAAGTCACCTGATTCTTTGACGTGGGAGAAGCAATTTTATAAACTCAGAAGGAGCCAAGTAATATCAGCACATAAATGACTATGAGGACACAAGCTGTGTCACAACCTGTTTTTCTCTGACATCTTGGCCCAGAAGAGAAGAGAATACTTTTTTTTTTTCTCCAGAAAGTTTGAGAGCAGTGTTTTTCTAGAGGAGACGGTTTGGAATCCTGCTAAACAGAGAGTGAAATGAATCTGCCAGTTCTTCCTTTGTAAGCCATCCACTGACTTGAGGCTAAAGAATTCTCAAGGAAATTAATAGCAGGTACTTAAAAAAAGGTGGGAACAAAACTCTACATCGAGGGGAATTGGTCTGAAATTTATGGCAGTAGAAATGACCTGAATCAGACAGTGCAGCTGTATTTTAAGAAGGCTGGGTAATTTTATAATCAATAACAATATTTGTAAGTCTGCATGCAAAAAATGGAGACATCAAATCTCACGCTTCGGAGCCCAAGCTGGTTGCTGCAGGTGTCCAGAAGGAATGTCTCCATTACATCCATCGTTATAAACCGGTACAGACCAATTACTGTCTCTCTCTGCCTTGATGCAAAGCTTTGAGGAATTGGTCACTGAAATGGCCCAAGATTGAATCAAGTGTCAGACATGGAGATTATCTTGGCTTTTCTCCCATGAGCAAAAGGAGAGAGGTGCTAGGGCCACACGGGGTTGGTTAGGGCTCTAACAAGGAAGGCAGAATGTTAAAAATTAGTTCTTGTTTGGGTCTTTTGAAGCTAACAACTTTTTCCATTACCCATTGGTAAAAGGGTGAGACAAGAAACATGAATGCCAGTGGGTGATGTCAGCTAAATGCCTGGGGTTTGAGCAAGTTAGAGACCAGGGGCTTGTTGTATTTCTAATATTTTTTGTGAGTAGGCAACTCAGTATGACCCCCATCATCTCAGTACTTAATGCCAGGTTTCTGCAGTAGAATTATGGCATTTACTTAAAAGTCACTTGGAAAAATGTTGGAGAAACTTTACGGTGCAAAAGATTCAACGCTGTGAACAAGAAGAGAAAGAGGAGTTATACTCTTTCAGTCTCTGGTTGAACCTAGTCCATTTGGAGCTCAGTTCAAAGAGCCTGAACTGTGGAGGGGCGCAAGAGTGTGATAACATACTCAGCAGGGTGCATGGAGACAGTGTGTGACGAGGCTGAATCACCTGTGTGGTTATTGCTTCTGAGTTCAGGCGGGTGTTAGGAAAGGGCTATATGTTTGCAGAATACTTTCTAGAAGTATACTTGAATTGTTTTTAAGCTGCCTCATCCCACAAAATTTTTTTTTTTGACCAATGGCTTCCTTACCCTCCAAATGAGTCCCTAAAGAACTCACACAGTGATTTTCATCCAGTGATTTCTTATTTGCTAAAAATATCTTATAATGGGAAATAGTGATAATCTACCATTTGAAATGAACCAAGCAGTTCTATAATTATAAATAAAGGCTTCTTATGTACTCATTTGAATCACTGTAGAAAAAGCAAAAGCAAATGAAGAAACAATTGGATATGTTCATTAACTGACATTCACTGTGGTCAAATTATGGCTAAATAAGAAAGTATCATCGCATTAGGATTCTTTATATTATATCATATATATTAATATACTATATATATTAATGTGGCTTCATTCTCTCCTTACTACATGGAGAGACAA